TTTTTAAAATAATAAAAGATATACAATAGTTTTTGGGCTTTGCCAATTACTATTAGATCTTTATCAAGAATTTTTCTAAAATTGTAGCTCTATTTATACTTTTGACTTGTAAAGACAAACTTGAATGGAATAAAGAAGCTAAAGCATTGTTTGATGCTTTAAAAAAAGAGTTTATTTCTACATTAATTTTATATCATGTTGACTTATCTAAGGTATTTTTTATAGAAATAGATGCATCAAACTTTGCTTTTGATGCAGTATTGTTACAAATGGGAATAAATAACAAACTCCATCCATTAGCTTTTTATTCTAAAAAAATTTCAGTAACTAAGTTTAATTATAAGATCTACAACAAAGAACTCCTTGCAATCATAGATTTATTTCAAAAATGATATTATTATGTAGAAGGTATCTCAAATCCAATCATTGTATATATAGATCACATGAAGCTTGAGTATTTCATGTTTGCATGTATTATGAATTGTCGCCAAGCTCATTGGAGCATGTTCATGTTAAGATTTGATTTCAAAATCACTTATCAATTCAAAAAATAACAAGATTTATCATACATCTTTTTTAGACATTCTTATCTTATACCAAAAGAAAGAGATGTATCTTTTGATTAACAAAGAATGATTTTTTTGAAGCCAAAGTATTTTCATCTTTGAGCAATAAAATCAGCATTAATTATTGATTTAACTTTTGACAAGCAAATTCAATGAAGTATATCCTCTAATCTTCTTGTTTATTATATCAAAAATAATTCTTCAAAACCTTATGACACTTCTAAGTTTGTGTTCAAGAATAATCTACTCTATTTCAAGAGATAATTATACATTCTAAAAAATAGCACACAATTATGTGTTTTTTAAGATCGTCGTGATTTTTTAGCACTTGGATATTTTGAATACAACAAGACTTTAGAGCTAATATTGAAAGATTTTTGGTGGCTTCAAATATGAAAGGCAGTCAAAGACTTTGTACAATCATGTGATATTTGTTCAAGATCCAAAATTCCTTGCTATCAACCTTATAGACTTCTTTAGCCATTAACTATTCTAGAACAATCATAGTCTTTTGTTTCTATGGATACTATCACGGATCTTTCAGTCTCAAGTTTGTATGATTCTATATTTGTGGTAGTAGATTATTTTATTAAGATGGCACATTTTGTACCATATAGAAAATCTATGATAGGTGAAGAAATAGCTAAGTTGTTTCTTAATAATATCTATTGCTATCCTAGATTGTCTAAAGATATTATATCGAATAGAGGGACTCAATTTGTATCAAGATTTTAGAAAATATTTTTTTAAGATTCTTAAAGTGGATATAAAGCTCTCTTTGGCTTTCCATCCTCAAATTGATAGACAAATGGAATAGATGAATCAAGTTTTGGAATAGTATTTGAGATGTACCATCAACTATCATCAAAATAATTAAATAATTCTTTTATCATTGAGAGAGTTTGCATATAATAATTTGATACATTCTTCCACTTAACAAACACCTTTCTTTGTCAATTATGGTTATTATTTATAATTTGATACTTTTGATTTTTTAAAAGTTGATAATCCTATAGCAAAAGTTTTTACAAATCATTTGTCAGGGCTATATACAACAATGAAGGCACAAGTAAAAGGAGCTCAAGAATGACAAAAGACTAAAGCAGATGTTTATTACAAGGAACAATCATAACTCAACGTGGATAACAAGATATGATTACTTCATTACAATATTAAGACTACTCCTCCATGTGATAAGTTGGACTATTGTAAGCTTAGACCTTTGCCTATTTGTAAACAAATCAATCATGTTACTTATCAATTATATCTATCAAAGTCTGTAAAAATCTATCTTGTATTCTATGTATCTCTTTTAAAGCCATATAAGACAATAAATATCTTGAAAAGAAGATAAATGCCACCTCTTTCTATAAAAGTGGATAATAATCAAGAGTTCGAGATAGAAGAAGTTTTAGATTCAAGGTGGCATTGAAATAGATTAGAATATCTTGTTCATTGGCATAGATATGATATTAATAAATGCATATGGAAATTAATAAAAAAAAGCTTCCAAATGCAACAAAGAAAGTTGACGCTTTTGATTAACAACATCCATCAAAATCAAGGTAAAAAATAGTAAATTTTTGTTATAAAAGAAATAAGATCTAGAGAAAAAAGCATTCCACCTTCTATTCTTATTTGTAACTTCTATGTATTTGTGATGCTAAGGAGATGGAGAACCAACAACCAATAGATTTAACTCAAAAGCTATAACTTACTAACTTATTAGATGAAACATCGCAATTCTTACAACCTTTAAGATGATGTAATTGAAATGAAGATCTTCTAGAACGACATATCATTCTTCAAATAGATGGCAAGATATAACGTAGTTGATATCACAACCTTAGAAGAGACTTCAAATGTTTGATGATTTTATTAGAGGTACAAACAATTATTGATGGTGTTCCAAATGTATATTTGAAAGAAGTTATGAAGGCTTCAACAACAATCAAATAACAAGATGGTCTTTTTGTCTTTGTATAGGATACTATTGATGGCCTATCAACCATTTTTTAAGAGAAAAAAGATCAAAATATGTGGGAAATATAATTCATCGCATCTTCGATTTTTTCAACATATAAAAATTATCTTTCATGAAAATCGACCCTAAAAGAGAAGATAATGTCACAAACACATATATTTACTCTAATATTGACCTATATGATTAAATAGAAATAGATAAAAATAAATTTATTTTATTATATTTTCTAAAGAAGCTTCTTAAAAGCTTCATAGATACTATTTTAATTTTACATGTATTTATAGTTGATTGGTAGGTTAGAAATTTGGTCAAGAAATTAACTACATATTGATAGCTTACAGAAGAAGCTAACTATGTAATACACATATAGAGAACTTGCCTTACAAGTTAAGATATGTGTCTTGCAAAGTCAAAATGTTTTGGAGGTCCTATAGAACATCACCATGTAACTCTTAATTAAGAGTATATATGGAGGTGTCACGGCCATAATCATGTAAGCTAATAATTACATATAGAAATAGGTAGAAGTAAGTAAAAGTAGATAAAAGTAAGTTAATTCTATAATATTCAATATGGAAGCTTCCTAAAAACTTCCTAGACGCTGCTTTGACTTCATAGGTGTCTTTAATTGACTTTTTGGATTAGAAACGTGGTCAACAAGTTGGCCATGTGCCACACATGTTGTTAGCTTGAAGATCAAGCTAACTATGTGGTCCACATGTAGAAAAACTTGCCTTGTAAGTCAAGGCATGTGTCCTACAAAGTCAACACATATTGGAGGTCCTATAGAACGTCGCCACGTAGCCCCTAGTTAGATAGTATATATAGAGACAAGAGTGAAGGCTTCTTCACTCTTGTCAACTCCTTTCTTGCTCCTAGTCCAGGTTCAAGAGTCTTTAGTTTCTTGTCTTGTGGCAATAGTCATTCCAGTTTCCTTTTAATATACATACTTGTTTATATTTTGACTTATTATATCGAGATAGCCTTTTTGTGTATATTTTCCCTCATCGAGTCTTTGTCCTTGACAGGAGGCTTGTTAATGCCTTAGTATTTAGTCTTATTTCAAGACTTTTTAGTCTTCTTGTCTTTGGCAATAGCCATTCTAATTTATTACTATATCATCTTTGAGTGTTTTTTTTTTCTTTTGAGTGACACAAGAAAGTATTATGGATTTCTTTCTTCAAGATTCATGTTCTTGACACACATGCAAAGTTTAGAAAGCTTTTAAAAAGCTTCCTAATAAGATATGAACAATGAAACTTATTTCTATTTACTTCTACTTAAATCTACTTATCTATGCAAATATATTAGTAATTATGACTCCATTATTTTAATTAAACTTGAAGTACTAGCTATTGATGCATAAAATAAATCTATAAAAAATTTATATGACTTCTCTTCACATATCTTTATTCTTCTTCTATTTTTTTACTAACTAGTTGTATTAAATTAAAATAACATTTATTAAAAAATAAATAAATAAGTAAAAATTTAAGTCTTTTGAAATTTATTTTAAAGATGACTCATTTAGTATTTAGAAACATCTTTAATGTATTAGTTGGATTTAAGTCCGTATTCTTAAAGATTCAATAAGACCTTTTCTTTGAAATAATAAGTTTTTATTTCTGAAAATTCAATCTAAATTTAATTATTTGAATATAATTTTGTTTCACTTTTGAAACTTATATTCATTGATTGCATAGATTCAAAAAAAAATTTAAATAGTAAGATATAAAAAATCTACACAAAATTAAATTTATTTATAAAAATTATATGAAATATGGCATAATATTATAAAAAATTATAAAATAAATATATATATAATAATTTTTAAAAATTAAATTAGATAAAACTTTAAAATTCTATTTCATTTCCTTATTTTATATAGTTGAAAAATCCTAAATATTATGATGAGTTGGTGTGATTTATAAACTATAGTTTTTTTTTTTTCTCTTTGTTTTGCCTTTCCCATGCTTACAATGGTCTTAAATGCTTTATAACTTCTTCTTTTTTCATTACTCTAAAATATCAACATATTTTGTATAATGAAGATAATAGTAACACATGTATGGTTATCATTTTAAAATACAATTCTTACATAAACATGCTAATTTCTGCTTATGTTACTGCACTATTTGTTATTTCCTCAACATTAAGACTTTATTTGTTTTAGATGAAAATATTTTTAAAATTCCAAAAAGACATGTGGAATGTAAAATTAAAGTGAAATCTTTTCTCACATTGAATCAAATGTTTAATCATTTTATTTTTTTAATGGTTTAATTATATTATTATTTTCCACAATGTGAATTTGCAGTTCTTAATTTATTCTTGCTTCCAACGTTCACAGCACTATGCAATCCAGTGGATATTTCATTCACCCTTCAGGATTCATCCATCTACACCGCATCGGAAATCGGGGAGAGCAGCTCAGAGTGAAGAGCACAGGGATTAGGGTTTGTTTTTCGAAGGCTATACTTCCTGCGTCAGGTTTAGCAGAGTAGCTCGGAAGCTCGAGGTCGCTAGAATTCCTTATTTACTCTCTTGTTTGGGACACTGCCCAGCGAAGATGGTGGCCACTGCGACCATGGTTGGAGCCATCATGGGTTTGAGCTGCCAGTTCTACTCCAATGCAGTGCGCAAGCTTCCACTCATGCGCCGTGAGTTTTGATTTTGTTTTTTTTGTTTTTTGTTTTTTGTTTTCTTTCGTCTTCGCTTCATACGACTAATTATTGTTCATGAACGACCGTCTCTCCCTCTGTGTAATTCTTGTAAATTGTCTTCGTTTATTCATTTTTTTCCACATAGATTTGAATTTCGGTTTCCGGACATCTGCTTGTACAGATCCGTGGGAGCACGTGCTTGCGATAGGATTGGGAGCTGGATTTGGAAATGCTGTGGCGAGTTGGGAAGTCCGCTTGCAAGAGGACCTAGATAAAAAATTGTCAGAAGTGCAAACTGCTAACAATAAGCGCTACATTGGTAACGACGCGTCCGCTTCTGTTCGATCCACTCTATTTCGCCTGCATTACTTCCAATTTTTTTGTTTTTATTCTTTGTTAACCCTAGTCTGTGGACGTGTGCTGCAATTTGGAGTGAAATTTCTAGGGAAGTTAAGGGGTGATGGGTTCGATTAACGGGGCTAGCTAGTTGTGCTTAGATCTCAGAATTTGCAAAGCTTTGAAACCCAATTAGTTTCAAAGGAATTCGCATCCTCTTCACTTTATGTCTAATTAGTGTGCGAAGTTTCCTCTTCTAGGATTGGAGTCGAACAATTTACTGACACGGATTTTGGGATGTGACAGGTACCATGAGGGCGGTCGAAGATTAATCCTGGATTTGCGTTACAATGAATATGAATAATGTTGGGTTAGATGAGATTATTAGTCAGTTCCCTGCTTAAATTTTCTCTCGTCTTTTTTCTATATTTCTATCAACACCTTCAGCTTTTGTTAACTCTGCATTAGTGAATTCTTCTGGACGTGCATCCAGAACTTCAGATCACGTGGAGAATGCGCAGAATGCTACGATGTTTACCTCTTCGGGACGTTCATGAAGATGTTTTGTTCGTTTGGATTACCTTCCAGGCTCATATCATGTAGCATTTAAGCATCCATATTCATGCTTCAGTCATGGATCTTGGGGGGTTCAACAAAGATATCATTGGTTTTGTGCCTACTACTGTCTAGGTGAGTCTCCAGTATAAATTATGCTTTAGGAACAATCTTACACGGTGGAGATTACGAGGGTTCCTTCTTGGCGTTAACAGATTCGAATCATTTACTGAAGGTATATCTTAATTCCTGTAATCGTGATGAGAATCTATTACTGTGTAGTAGAGCATTTCCTCATTACGGTAGATATGAGTTCTTGCTTCATCTGGCAAGTTGTCTGAGTAGTAGCAGTTTTTTGACTATGCCTGCACTAAGTATACACAATTACTCTGCATGATATACTAGCTTAGATTTTTCGTGTTCGTGGAAACATCGGATTCATTGCGTTTATTCAGTACCGCCTTGTAAGAATGCCACCATATTTTGAGATATCGATCGTGAATAGAACCTGACTTATTCAATTAATTACTATATGACCTTCGTGATTTTCATACCACCGATCAAATCAGTGTGCTCCTCGTCAGAACACACCACTGGTAACAACAGATCTTTTGTAGTTCTTATGGCCGTCAAAGACAAGACACCTTGTTTACTAATACAGCGTTGTTCATTCCACCCACAGATTTACACTATTGTACTCACTGCTCAGTATCGTTTACAGAATAATGATGCCACGTTCCTCAATCATGGTGATACTACTTAGTATGGTAATGTGTACATTTATTAGATGGTTCTTGCATTACTGCTACATGGCATGTTTTCTGTTCAACTCTGGCCTGACACGTTTCTTTCGAGTCCAAAGTTCTCTCTGCAGATTAATATAGATTTTCGGTACTAGCTGTGATTCAATGGCCTCATGGAATTTGAGTAGAATCCATCTCTCAAAGCGTTAAATGCAAACTGTGGTATGGATCCACAGGGTTGTGATCTAAACTCCTTCATGCGATTTAGCATCTCGTTGTGTTCGGAGCATAGTGAGACTGGACCCTTCAAATGCAAGTGCCTGCTCTTATCTGACCTGGTGAGACACTCAGCGCTGAGATTGTGTTCAATGCATCGGTAATGTCAACAAAGCTTCTGCTATGGAAACAAAAATACCCATCTGTGCTAAAAGATTCGAAAAGTTTTTACTGCGACGGTCTGGCCTGGGTTGCAGTGCAGGCCATACCTGAGCAGAGAATGCAGTGCAGTTATTGAATAGCGTTGAATGGAAGCACCTCGGGAGAACGAGGAATTGTTAATAATTTCAAATGTACAACAAATTAATGGATTGATTCAACTGATTAGTAACCTGTATCTGTGAAGCTGAGTATAGGTCTACTGTACAAAATTTTAAATCCAGCATCAGCAAGAGATGTTGATGAAAGTTTCCTTAATTTTCAAGTTGAGCAATTGAATTGCTGTATTTTTATTTTTTTTTATTTTTTTTTTTCAATGGACAAGTTTTCATTACCAAACAATTCAATCTCAGGGGCATTCCAATTTGCATGGCTCCCATGGTCAAACCATAAGACCACATGATTTGAAGAACATGCTTCCTTGGAACAGTGAGGTGCATTTTTTTCAAATTATGTACACCTTTCTGTTCATATATATATATATATATATATATATATTGTACAATAAGGCATATCCATGTAAGTGTAGCATCACATTCCAATGGTAGGTACACCCATGCCAAAACTGTCTCTGGAAGACAAGAGTATCAATTAATGAACACATTTGCATACAAGAATTGGGTCCAGTACAAAAAAGTGGAGCACAGAAATGACTATTTTCACAGTGTGTGTGTGAGAATATGTGAGTGTAAGGAAGTGGGTACTACTGGCACACTGATGAGTTTGGAATGTCTGCCACAAGCTCTCTCTCCAAGCTTAATTAATGGCCTTGAAGATTGGCTGTGTTGAAAAAAACACAGCACAAACCCACCTAATTGAATGAGTTCAAGTCCCCAGGAGTTGGCCTCCTGTCAGCACTGTGGCTAAGCTTGCTCAACCCCTTTGCCAAGTTGAATGCTTGCTGTGCTTCTTTGGCAGCCAAGTCAGGCATGCATGAGTGATTTTTATAGTGTGGTGAATAGACATTCAAAAATAACATTGCTGCAGGGATTATTTTTTTGTAGAGATGGAAATAAATGTGTTCAAAAGACATAGTAAATCAAAAAGATAACAAGCATGTTAGCACAAATTGTATTGTTATGTACTCATGATTTTACACTCACTGAAATCATGTGTATGGTTGTGTATGTGAAGCAAAGGGAATGTTGTTAACATAATCATAGGTTTAACATCTTTCTTATTGTATTTCTTGCAATTTTTAATATGTTTCAAGAAAATCTATGATTGAATCTTGTATAGTTTTAATAATAATTATTTGTATTTTGGCTCAGTGAATTCAACAATAAAATTTTGCATCAAAATCTTAAATTTTAACTTACCAGGTAGTTAAAACTAAATGAAATTGTCTAGAGTTTTTTAAGCTTAAGTTATATACTGAACAATAGGTTTTTGTAAAGTTTCAAATACAATCGATAAACCTTCAATTTAAGGAATATTTTCTCTGAAATTCTTTAATTTTGTGGGATATTTACGTGTAATTTTTTTAAAATGAAGATTCTGTTTGCAATTATACAAATTTAATATTGCTTTGATGATTAAAGAAAATTGATAATATACTTGTATAGTATTAATGAAAATTAGAGAATTCACCAGAAGGAGAGAAACTAAATTACTTTGATTATGTTGGAGAATCATCTGTCAAAAGAACTATGAAAAACAACTAAAAATACAATATTATTTTAAAATAGCTTCATAGACTAACAGATCATGTTAGTTCTTTTGAAAAACACATGTTTTTCTCTCTGAATAGTACAATATATTAATTCATTTAAAAACAACTGATTATGTTTGAAAATATACATTGATTATTTTTTAAAATTAATTGAAACAATTAAAATTGATGACTTTAAAAATAACACTAATTAAAAGAAATCTTATGTTTATTTTTAAAAAATTATTAGAGAAAAATATATATGAATCATTTTCTAAACAAATAGTTTTGTATTCAAATGTTCATTTGAAATTCTTGGAAAAAAATGTCTATATTTCGCAAAAAAATCATAGTATAAAAAATAGCGTTTAGGAGAAAATCATCTATTACTCAATTATTTTTAAATAGGTGATAAAAGGGATTAAAATTTTTCTAATATGAAAGATTTGTGAATATTACAGGAGATTACAATTATCTGCTAACAACGACCTTTTATGTTTCAACCTTTATCAACAATTTTTTGTGGTTACATTTGAACACTTTAACAGGACGTAAATAACTGCTTAAATTAATTAATTAAATTTTATCAGTGACTAATATGAATATTTAATATAACTTAACTGAACTTCTCTTAGGTATTATACCAAAATATGAAATTGCATATACTATCATTCGTGTGAGAAAAAGAAAAAGAAAAAGAACAAAACAAAAAAAAAAACAAAAAAAAATTATTTGTGTACCTTATAATATCATATTAATTGATTGCAATTTTTTTATCAATACATCAAACAACACATAATTTTATATCAATTTATGTTATATTAATTTTTAATTTTATTTATTTCTTTATAAGCACTTATTTATGCTATAGAGTTCAAAATGACTCATCTCATGCTTCTTAATTTGTTTGACTTAATATTTGAAGGAGTTGGAAGCCATATGGTACATTGTACACTAAACCTAATTCTTTAGGGATATATTATTGCAAATATTTATCAGATTACATTGTTTGTTTCAATGGTAGAACTTGAAATGATTTGAAAAGATTTTTATAAGCCTTAAGTTGATCTACATTTAATCTAATTTAGGTGCTCTATTATCATTCCAATGACCATTTTGAATACTAAACCAGAAACATTCCAAATGATATAATAAAGTGGCCCTTATACAAAGATTAATGCAATGACATCTAAGCATGGTATATTGATGAAGTCAAATTTAGAGAAAACATGGAAAAAAAACACTCATGTGTAGGACAGCATGTGTGGGCCTACTTATTGTATTTAGAATGAGTAGTTATTCAATTTCAAAGGTAAATTTATAAGGTACTTATTCAATTTCAAAGGTAAATTTATAAGGTACTTATTCAATTTCAAAGGTAAATTTCTATATTGTGTTATTCACAAATTTATTTACTTTCTAATTGTCTTTTGAATTAAACAATAAAGTTCATTTCATTACTTGCAGTGGAAGGATTTTTTTATAGGTTGTGCATTTAGGAAAGTAGTAGTAGTACTACTATGCTACAACATGTGCAAATCCAAAGCTTCAGAGAATTTTATGGTGAGATCTTGCTTGACTTGCAAAAAAGAAATGTTATAATTTCTTGGTTGAATCAGTTGCTATCTGGCTTGGAATATTTTGACCAAATTAGGGTACCATCAGATAAACTCATTGATTTGTTAATTCATTCATGTCCCAACTTCATGCCCTAAATTCCCCTTACACACAAGCCTTGATCATGTGCTTGGAGCACAAAAGGCAAACCCATGAAAGCTCATGAGCTAAAAGTACAATAGAAAAGTAGCCACCTCTGCTCTCTATATATTTTGCCAGCCTGCATGTGACCAGTACTACAGACTTCATAAACATAGAGGATCTCACACACCCCCACTTACAATATCTAGAGTCCCCCACTATTAGCAACCATTCCCATGCAAATCCATGTTCAAAGCTATGGGTCTCCATGTCCACAACCCCCCAAATGCACATCCCACTCAATTCCATACATAAACCTTACTCACCCTAAAAATAACACACATTCCTTTACTATTCTCAATGTTACCTACAAGCCATTCAACACACCACCACACTCCCCCATTACCAGAAGAGAAATGTGGGTCCCCATGACACCACAACCTGTACTGTTACAATTATCATGGAGGACACTCCACTTTGTCATTTCAAAATCATAATCAAGGCATCTGAAAGCCAAACCAATTATGAAGTAAAACAACTGCCATGTACAACACAAACCTTCTTTCCAACTATTTTTAGACATATTAAAAAATAGTAGGGAGAATTATATTTTTCTTTGACAGAAACAACATTCTGCAGAGGCAAGCTCATAAAGAGAGAGAGAGAGAGAGAGAGAGAGGGGGGTAAAAAAACATAAAACACAAAACAACAAAAAGAAGCAGTTATGACCCATATATCAAGAGGATTATTACTGCAAGTAGAAGTGGAATAGAGACGCCTGCTGTAACTGGAGGATGTGTTGTGTTGTGCTGAGCTGCGCTGTGCTTTGCATGATCTGCATGCATGGATTTGAGATTTGGAAGCAGAAATGGACCAACAAGAGTGATGAAGCGTTTGGCAAAATTGGCAGAGTCACATCCAGGAGCAAAGGAGTAAGGAGCAGGAGTAAGGAGCAGGAGTAAGGAGCAGGAGTAAGGAGCAGGAAGGAGGAGGAAGAAGAGGGTTCCTGCTGAAGCTGGTGCTTCTGGTGGTGCAGCCATGAAGGAGGGTGAAGCAGCGGCGTTGCCATGACTGCGAGTGTAAAAAGATCAAAGCAAAGGCCGAGGAGAGGCAGCGATGGATGCGGCATGGCAGGAATGGGAGTGAGAGAGACAGTGAGAGTGTTAGAGTGAGAGAGTGGGGAAGGAACTTTTTCACACCTCCAGGGGCAGGAGGGTGTCCAGAGAGAGCCCCACCCACAAATCGAAGAAGTCGGAGCAGGCATTTTGGCGAAGAATTGGAGGTTTGCGCCCTTGGATTAGTTGAACCATCCAGGCCCCATAATTGGGCCACAACAAAAGGACCCCCTCAAATCTAGGCTCCCCGGGGCAGCGAACCGCCTATCAATAGAAAATGAGAATGAGGGTGGCGGAGCCTTTGACGTTGGATGATGATGATGGCCCTCTGCCGCATTCGAGATAGTGACAACACTGAGCGAGAGAATCTCCTGGATGACCAGTTTGAAATTCAAGCTGGTCATCGAGTTTGTTGAGGTTCTCATGGAAATTTGAACTTGGAGGGAGAGAAACATGGGATGGTGGAGCAGGAGGACTCCAGGCTCGGGATGGTTGGCGTTTTGGATTTCGTCCCCGATGAGTGAAGATCCGAGAGAGTGATAGAGTGGGAGTGAGTGAGCGTGGGAGTGAGAGCGACTCTGACACTTGGGCCAAAGAAGTTTATGTGTAAGTGTTGTCTCATCATTAATGTCATGGTCGTCGTCGCCGCCACCTTTGGCCCCCAACGGCTCGAATTCCAACTTTTGGTTACTCCTGGCTTACATCAGGGGCTTTCGTCAATGATCGAGAATTCAAGGGGGCGTTCAGAATGAGATAAAGGGGAAAAAGAAGAAACCGAAGTAAACTCGCGTTTCGGGAGTTTGGAGGTGGCTGATCATGGTGGGGGGAATTCGTGTTGGGGAGGAAAAGTGGTTTGAGTGTAGGGGCGAGTGGAATTGTGGGTGCGTGCATAGTTCAACGAGCGAGTGAGAGCGAGAGTGGTACGGATGTTGACGATTGCATGTGATGGGACGCAGATGGCAGAGATAGAGAGGTGGCTGTGGCAAGGAGAAGGATACAGGCTGGACGCGAAGGTTACCAGTTAGTGAGTTGGTTGCCGAGGTTCAGTGCCAGGAGGTGCATCAGTTGAGCAACGGGTGTTCTGCGTTGCAGTGCAATAGTTTCGGACGACCTTGAGTGGGGATAATATCGTTCGCATCGCGTGGAGTTTGACAATGCGATGTGTCGCTGTTGTGGATTTGGATGTCCTAGGGGTGTCCACTGGCAGTCAGGCTTTGTGTGAGTCTGACATGATTGGAGGGGTAGACAGGCAGTCAGGTTAAACCTGTTCTCATCTTGCGTCTGTCTTGGACGTAGGATGCATTGTTATCTATCATCTTGATGGGGCGGCCGGTAAGTTTCCAGGGTCGCGCAAGTGCAGGTCGCTGCATGCGATGCTGCAATTGAAGCTTTTCTTGTCTCGAGCGTAATCTTGTGGTGGCGGTGGTTGGACTCGTTTCAGGATTGGTTTGCAAGTTGGTTACATTTATGTCTGACTGCGGCGGTTGTTGGAAGATGAATCGTGGTCTGTAGGACATGGAGCTCAATAAAGAGTCTTTAGGGACTTTAGGATTAAGCCTCGCGCAGACGAAGCTGACGACGGTGTATAGGGTGGCGAAGCAGCCGCCTGATGTGGAGAAGAAAGTTGGTCATAATCTTGACGGGCTGTTTCGGCTCGCCAACTTCGGCCTGATCAAACAGGAACCTGTAGAGTACAATGTATTGGCAAACGGTAGCCAAGAAATTGACAGACGAAACAGGAAATACGGCTTGCATTCGCTTTCGTGTCGGGATGATAATATGTTGCTCGTATCACCTGGGGAAGAACAGGCGGGCAGCAAATCGTTTCCGTATGTGCAGCTCTTGACGCAACAGTTGGGTGGTAAAGATTTGGTAATTTCTACGGAACCCGGTTCGCCGGCATGTCTGTCGCTGAAGCGAGTGAAGTTGGAGCTTCACAGCCCTGGTTCATGTGTTACCAACGTCTGGGAAGCATCGCAGACCTCCAGTGATGTCGAATTGCTCTCCCAAGCTTCCATGAATCTCATAACCTCAGACTCAGACCCAGATAATGTTGAACAGTATAATGGAGCCTCTCCTGTAGAAGCTCCGCAGTGTCCCGAGCAGGCTCCCGTTGCGTTGGGTCCGCCCCTGAAGCCTCATCCTTTTATGATATCCTCGGTCATGATCCAGGATTATGCAATCGTTGATAACACCAAGCGTCCCGCGACAGTGATTGAAAACCCTTTACCCTCACAAAGGATTCTCACTTCTGTGAAAACAAAAGTAGTTGAGGTAAACAAGAAGTTGGTAACTGCTCTAGATGTGTTCAGAGGAGGGCTTCTTTCAGCTTCGTCTTTCACGCCACCCAATGGAGGCGAACTACAAGCACAAATTCCTTCTGATTCAGTACCCAACAAGTTGATGACGGCCTTGCACATGCTACCTGAGAAGTTGGAGTCCAGGGAAAATCCACCAGTGGAAATCACATATTGGGAAAATCCCTTACCTCAACGTGGGAATGTAGCCGTGGTCCGCGTGAAGAGTGAACCTCTGGACATCCCTGGAGGGATTGAAGCTGGAGACGCATCAGTCAGAGTTGGATTGCAAAATCGAGAAATAGTCCAAGTTAATGAAAACATACTGAACCCCAGCGGTTTCTTCTCAGATAGTGTAGAATACGAAGTGCCTCGAATGCTACCTTCGGACAGTGATGAGACTTTGACGGAGTCCGACGACACCGATGATACGGAAGGTGGACGTTTGCCTACGAAGGCACGTAATGGGGCGCACATGGGTTCTGGGGACGTTGTTGATATGATCACTTGTATATCCGATAAGTGGAGCGATGGTGGCCTTGAGAAGAGTCAGAAAGAAATTAAACCGAGGAATAGTAATCCGGGAAGGCGCATTCAGGGCGGTCGAATATATGACTCATCTTTTGGTAAAACATGCCATTGGTGCCGGCAGAAAACTGTGGAGCATCATGTGAAGTGTAGAGAGTGCACGATTCATTTTTGCGGGCCCTGTCTTATGAATCGAAATGGGGAGAATATTCGTGAAGAGCTAGCCGAGGGAGTGAGATGGCTTTGTCCTAAATGCCGGAACGGTTGTGGATCAGGTTGTAATAACTGGTAAGTAATCGATATAATACCTGTTCCTCACACCTCATTTTTATTTTTATTTTCTTTTAATTTTTACTTTTTTCTTGGTGTTGTGACCACTTTAAAAAGAGCATCTGATTTCGTTGAAGAAATTATGCTAGCCTGTGTAGTAGAATATTGCGTAGCTTTTCGTCTTATCTTACGTCCTGTGTTTATAATCTTACGAACCAGGTAAATTTTTTGCTGTTGTATTATGAGACTTGGTATCTCAATGTCCCCTGCTTTATATCCATACATACTTTCACTAGCTTGCTTCGCAGGATCACAATTTGAAGCTTGCAGTTTAGTTGAACGAGTGTGCTTTGATGGAGTATCATCCTGTATCGGTCGTTGGAAATTATATTTAGTGTGGGATGGATTTGCAGTTGCAATTGCGGGCCTTGTCGCAAGGCAGATGGAAAGGCCCCAACGGGTCAGGTAGTATTTCAAGCACGTAATGCGGGGTTTGAGAACGTTCATGATTATCTTGTGCATCTAGAAACAGGTGAAACATCAGTAGAGATCGCCCAGCGGAAGGTGGGCCGAGATTGGACGAATTGTGGTAGGTTCAAATGCACGGACACGTCAGGAATCCCAGAATCCCGAGAGGATGCATCAGAGAGCGAAGCTGGGGAAGAGTTCACTTTGAATGAGGAAACCTCGACTCAAGTGCACCAAGGAAAGCTGGGCATGAGGCTTGTTAAGAAATTTGTTCAGGTATGTGGCCCATGACATTTGTAGATAGCAGTAGTTAACAGTCCAGGTTTGCCTTTCTCTCCTGCGTACGATATAGTAATATTCTCTTCAGTGTGGAATATTTGTAGCGGTTTCTTAGCCGGACAGTTGACACTATACTGGTTTTTGACCTCAGTCTCAGAAGCGGAAGAGAGGGGCAATGCGAGGATCTCTTCCGGCGAAAAGAATGCAACACGAGTTTTCACCTGCATACAGACGACAAGATGTAGACAGCATTCCTGCCCGGTTGGAAGGCACTGGCCAAGAGAACAGCAAGGAAAAAACGAATGAAGTGAGCTTTGTCAACGTTGGAGTTGACCAGACATTTAATACCAAAGAAAAACCCATTCAGAATGATTTGACATATAAAAGGAACCAAAATAGTGGCATGAAGACCAACATCAAACGGGAGCATGTGGATATGAATTCTGAAAATGGTACGGGAGAAACTTATCCGGAGAACTTGGTAGCGGGTAAAAGAAGAAAACTTGAGGCGTTTGGTGGAAACCAGAGGCAGGATGTTTTATATGAAGTTATGTCTTCAAGATCGTCATTGATAAGTCCTTTTTCCGAAGTGTCATGCAAAGTAGAGCCGATCACTTTTAGCGAAGATAATCGTAGAATTTCTGGAGACTGCCCAAGCATTGGTGCTGGTTCCAGGAGAAAGCTCGCCAATTATGCAGACATACCTGGTGGTCAAGTGAGGACAACTTTTGGTTTGGGGAGTGAGCCAATTTTGAGGATGAGAGGAGCTAGCGCTTCTCGCGGTGTCATGAATGGGCTGAGCAGTGCCTCGACCCAAATGGTGCTTGAGCAACGCGGGATGGTGAGCGTCCATTTGTAGATTTCCCACTATTTTCATAGGAATGTAAATAAATATTAAATTACCTTTTTCTTTTGTTCAGAAAAAAGTTTCCCAGGTTCGTAATTGGGAGCTACTGCTGTTCACTGAATCCTGCTCGCACTGAGGTTGCATGGTATACGAAGCCTCGTCTTTTCTTTTTCTTTTTCCCCTTTTCTCCTGTTGTAGACTTTAGTGTCTTGCTTGACAACCATAGCCTTATTGATGGAGCATCCTCAATGAAAGTGAATCACGGTTTTACAGGAATGCCCAAGTGATCCTCAAGGAACCATATACCGTACTAAACTGAAATCTGCATTAGCACATCCCTTTGATGCGAAGGAGATGGCAACACTCGATGAATCTGCTAGATGCCGCAAACCTATTCAGAAACTACGTCAGATGCGTGGTCGCATTGTTGACGTAATTACAGAGGACGAAGGCCTCTCTTACCTAGACCATCACCAAGGTGAGCCACAAAATTTCCTTGCAGACGCAATCAATTCGTTTTCCTTCTTCTGGTTTATCTGCTGTAGCACGTCTAAGCATTTTTTTTCATTGGTACAGATCTGGAACGGGGGGTAAATCCCTGCAGCAATAGGTTCAGTTTCCTTTAGTGAGGATTATTCAACTAAATGGATCCCATTCTGTGACATGCAGATTTTGCTTTGAAGTTGGAAGAGGCAGCAAGTCCTCCAGAAAAGTTGGCTCTGTTGCGAGGATTTTTCTTTTGGCTTCAGGTACCGTTGTGTCAGTCTACCGAGTACTTACTCAGCTGGCTGCTCCCTTCTGTTGTATCTAGGGTTTAATTGACGCACCTAATCCAGGGACCTTGCTGTGATGCAGCATTCATGTATGGAAGGTGCTTTCAGGCCTTGGTTAGGGGCACTGACAGAGTTTGCACCTCAATCTGGGGACTGCATTGAGACTGAGGGTCCAGATTGCCAGGTAAATATCAGACCCCAACATGCACTACTGCGTAAACTAGAAGTCTTAGCTTTAGATCACTGAATTACATCTCTAGATTACAGTTATCTTCGCAAGAATATCGCATTGATTTATCAGTTGTACTTGGATGTTGAAATCAAGTCATGTGTTTTATGCAGTTGGCAGTCTCTTCTAACGATGTGTTTTTTCTAATATTCTGTGTTGCGAACTATCGAGGCACTGGTGACTGTTGGTAAACAAAGGTGAGTGCTGAGCTGGAACGAATTGAGCCCTTGGCCTCCTTTCAAACGAACTCTTGGTTTCATGCGCAGGTGACAGCAGTCGTTCTCCAGCTGGACGAAGCCAAAGACGCTTCGCACCAAGTCGAAAGCAAAAACGTCATTCACCTGGATGACGGTAAAGGCTCTCCTCGCCTGGACGAAGTTACGGAAGCTCCACGCCGTCTGAAGCGAAAATACACGAAGAAGATACCAAGACCACCTGAAGTTGGTAGAGAAAGTCGTAAACCAGTCATGATACCCAGTATACAGACGTTAATTCCTTTCCAAGCGAAGAAGAACTCTTTTCAACCAGTGAAGGCGAAAATGAGAACACAACAAACGTCGCAACCGGTGGTCAGTTACCGGGTGGTCCTTTGTCTACCTGCGCCGGCACTTTAAGGTACAATTCTAAATTCCTAACATCTGTAAATTTTTCATTCCTCATCTTTCTTTTGGCTTCCATGAGGACTCCTTTGAGTGGATCTCAGACAAAAATGGTCATAGTATTGGTGTAGATTTTCTGTCTCGAAGTAAAATTTATGTAGGTTTAATCCGTCTTTTTTATGGCTAAAGGCCGCATCGAGTACAACTGATTTGTTTTGTACTGGGGCTAACTTTTTGCACTCTGGTGTGCATGAGTAATATCAATGTACAAGGTAGATTGAAACGATTTTTTTTTGTGTGACAGTTCTGAGGAGATCTGAGGACTAGCTTCTGTCGAGTCAGTTTAATTGAAGATGCCCGAAGGCATGAGCTGTGCTGTGGTGTACTAGTTCTTATGTCTCTTGACCTCCACAAGGGGATCATTGCAAAAGAAATTAGTTTGCGTTCCTAGAATCGCTGGAAATTCTTAGTTTTCATTTGCAATGAATAATTGTGATTATATTGTGCAAACTGTAATCTCATCACTAAGAAAACGTTGAAGTAGACATAAAGTAGTGGTACGAAAGCACAGCATTCTTAATTTATTTTTCAAGCCGCGCACACACAGGGGTCTGGATGATAATCTATTTCTGAATTATTGACCAGGTCACCTGGATTTTTTGTTATCTGAATGTAATCAACCCGGACCAAGTTGTTGAAGCTGCTGCTGATAAACTTTAGCTCAGCTCATTCAAGACATTTTCAATTCTACGAAATCTCTCATGACATTTCATCATGATGGCGTCCAGACGTCTTACTCAACTTCACTCCTGTGCATTAAAAATTCGACCACTTATCTCGTCAGCCTTAAACGGAAGCGTACCTACCATGCCTCCGTAAAATTATGGCGCCCGTATGTTTTCTGAATGTTCGGATTTTCAAGAATGAAACTATCCACCAATTCAACACCCTCGCATGCTCAATATCCAGAATTGAGAGTTCCTTCAAAAGTGACGCCTGTGACCATTACTTCAGTCAGCCTCCATTGGGCCAAATGCTGTTCTGATCTTCCGACAGCTAAGGCGATGCTTGTTTCCAGTTGCTCCATTTCTCATCTTCAATTTTTAACCTTCACATCAAGACAAGCATTTTGAACAAAAGGAAAAATGTGACATGATTTCACAATGGAGCAGAAAATTTTCATGAAAGTGAAAAGTAAAGTTGTAACACCCAACCTGCCTCCTCTGTCGACTCTCAACGTTGAGCCCTCATCCATGTGATCATTTTTCTTAAACACATCCAATCCATGTTGACACTAGAGTTAGGTAAAAATAAGAAGTTACCACTGTGTTACTTTACTATGGTGGATAAAGTCCCATTGTTTATATCATTGCATATTTAAATAAAGATCACATATTTGAATAAAGATCTCTCTTCAGTTCATATTTGCAACATGATATTAGAACAATTAGGATATGATTAGGTGAAGGTGAACCTTACTTTTTTTGTTTAGTAAAGAAAATATTAAAGAGAAACATATCCTAAAAGGGTAAATCCTAGAAAATTGACAGAAGCAAGAGAAAAGATGTTAAATTGTAAAATAGATAAGTCGAACAATATGACAGGAGCTCAAAATTACTATGTTTGGAAGTTTAAGATGTTAGCAATTTTAAAACAAGAGAATTTGTGGAGCAATGTAGAAACAAAGAGGTTAGTAATCTCTTTTTTAATATAGATAATAGAAGAATCTTACACTAAGATATAATTAGCAGAAGAAAAATAAAGAGAGCAATCAAGACTAATTATGTTAGGAGTAGCCAATTTGATTGGAATAATATCACAACATAATAATATTACATAAATATGGAATATGTTGTGACTGACATACATATTTACTTTGATAATTATCTAAATAATAAGAATAGGTAGAAGTAAGTCAAAGTAGATAAATATGATAATATCTTGTGGGAAGCTTCTTAAAAGCTTCATAGATGCTGCTTTGCCTTTATACATGTCTATAGGTGATTGATAGGTTGAAAACTTGGCCAACAAGGAGGCCACGTGTCGACATGTTGATCACTTGTAGTACAAGTTGGACATATGGCGCACACCTAAGAAACTTGCCTTGCAAATTAGACATGTGTCTTGCAAGTTGGACGCGTATTAGAGGTCTTGTAGCATGTTGCCACATAGTTCTTAATTAAGTAGTATATATAGATGCAAGAGTGATGCCTTCTTCACTCTTGTCAACTCTTTTTTTGCTTTTAGTATAGTTTCAAGAAGTCTTATGTTTTCTAGTCTTTGGTAATAGCCATTCTAGTTCTTCCTTCAATATACATACTTTCTTCTATTTTGTTACTTTCCTTTTGATACAGATTCCACAAGTTTATGTATCTTCTTCCAATTTGTGTCTTTGACAGGTTGACAAAAATACACATATAATATCAGAGCTTTGTCCTTTCTTGATTAAGAGTGGATTACTCCTTTCTCTTGATAAGACATAAGCATATTAGAAGTTATGGATCACCTTCTTCTAAATTGATATTATTTATATATATATTTTTTTCTTGATTCTTAAATATTATATTCTCTGAGAATAGACACCTTTCTTTTTATTTTGCTAGCATAGAAGAGCTAGCTGAAATAAAGAGTACAATGGCTCAAATGCAAGAGCAAATAAGAGAGTTAATGCTTGCAATGCATCAATTTAGTCTACCACCACAAGGAGCAACAAGATTATGAGGCAATGAAGATATAGAAATGATTGGAGTTGCTTCAACATCTATACTAAGCCATACTACTTCTTCTGCAACGAAATATTCTTCAAGTTTCAAAGAACCAAAAATTGAATTGTCTATATCGTACAAGATCTGATTTCTATGTATATAGATTTAATTTTTTGTATTAATTGTATATTATGACTTTTAACAAATTCTTCATCTAAAAAACAAGTTGAGGCTCTTGAATCTACTAAAGCAGAGGCTTTGTGATTATTAGATCCTAAACGCATATCTATTGTAAAACAAGGAGACGGTTCTAAGGAGAGAATAGGACCTTCATTATAAATTGTATAAGATTCCAGCTACACAGTCCCTATTGTAGCTAGACAAATTTGTTTACTAACATGTTTTCATCTTTTACAGCAATACTCCTCATTTTGTAGTTGTGTTATTTCTTTGGACAATATTGAATAGTATGCTTAGCTTTTCCACAATATAAACATGGTCCTTCTTGATGATGATGAGTCTTTTCTTGTTTGGTAAGAAATTTAAAATGTATTGCATCAATTTGCATGTCTTCTACTTATAAATATTTAGATTGAAAAGTTGTTAGTATCATCATTGAATTGTAATAACATTGAGGTTTCCTTGTGTAAGTCTTAGATCAAAATTCAAAAAGCCAATTTTCACATTTCATAGCAAAGTCAATTGCTTGACTCAATGTCTAAGGATTAGGTAAATTGAGCATCAATTTCTTTACTTTATATTATAATCTGTAGAAAAATTTGCTGGTGAGTGCTGTATCATCCTACTTAATATCCGTCGCTAATTGTCAAAATTATAAAGCGTATGATATCACTGATTGCTTGCCTTATCGCAAGATATAAATCTTCTTGATTGTAATACAAATTGCATCATGTTCTCCATATATAGATCAAAATTTTGCTAAAAATGCTTCCAAATTATCCAATATTGGATCACGTCATTCAAAAAATGGTGAAAATCTTGATAAAGTAGAATATGTAAGTAGTATTCTATTAAACCTGACTTGTGATCCTTGAGTTGGATAACTTTGAGGTTGTAGTTTAATCACCAATTGTTTGTGATTCATGAATCCTCAAAATTCAGATCTTGTACTATAAAAGAGCTCCTATCTTATTTGTAAAATAAAAGATAGATCATTGCAAATGTGTTTGGATTATTGAAGATTCAACAAGATTACTATTAAGAATAGATATCCTTTGCCTTTGATATATGGCCTTTTTGATCAATTAAATCAAGCTAAGATCTATACAAAAATAGATCTACAAAGAACATACAATCTGGTCTACATTAAAAAAAGAGATAAATAGAAGACTGCATTTCAAACAAGGTATGGATACTTTGAATATAATGTCATGCCTTTTGGACTCATGAATGCACCAGCTACTTTTCAATATTTTATGAATGATATTTTTTGTGAGTTTCTAAATGATTTTGTTGTCTGTTACTTAGACAATATTTTAATCTACTCTAAGAATGTAAAAGAATATAAAGTTCATATATGTCATGTGTTACAAAAACTTAAAGATGCGGGATTGTATGCCAAGATGGAAAAGTGTGTATTCCACACTACTCAAGTTGACTTCTTAACATACATCATTTCAAATAATATTCTAATAATGGATCCTAAAAAAATTCACACAATCATGGATTAGAAGATTTTAAAAATAGTAAGAGATGTACAATACTTTTTGGATTTTATCAATTACTATTGGATCTTCATCAAGAATGTTTTTCAAGTTGCAGTGCCATTTATATGCTTAACTTATAAAGACAAGCTCAAGTGGAATAAAGAAGCAGAAGCATCATTTGAAGCTATCAAGAAAGCTTTTACTTTTGCATCAATCTTGCATTACATCGACTTCTCCAAATTATTTTTTTATGGAGAAAAATATATCTGACTTTACCTTAGGTACTATTTTTTGACAAATAGGAGCAGATGATAAACTTCATCTAGTAGCTTTTCATTTAAGAAATTTTTGAGCAATCAAGATTAATTATGAGATCTATAATAAGAAACTTCTTGTAATCATAGATTTTTTTTAAGAATGGCATCATTATTTAAAAGATACTTCAAGTCTAGTCACTATATATATGGATCACAAGAACATGAAGTATTTCATGTTAGCACATATTTTGAATCATCGCCACACTCGTTGGAGCATATCTTTGTTAAGGTTTGAATTCAATATCACTTATCGGCCAAAAAAATAAAGTTTCTCTAATGTCCTTTCTAGATGTTCTTATTTTATACCAAATGAAGGAAAAATAGATTTTGACCAAAAAAAGAAAATTTTATTGAAGTCAGAACAATTCCATCTTCAAGCAATGAAATCAACATTGACTATTGATTTGACTTTTTTCAAGCAGATTCAAGCAAGTATGTCCTCAGACCTTCTTATTCATGATATTAAAAATAATTCCTCTAAGTTTCAAGATACTTCCAAGTTTGAGTTTAAAGAGAACCTACTCTATTTCAAAGCACGCTTATATGTTCAAGAAGGAGAAGCATGATTATGTGCCCTTGAAGCTCGTCACAATTTTCCTACAAGAAGATATTTTGGATATAATAAGACTTAGGAGCTTATATCTAGAGATTTTTGGTGGCCTCAAATGTGGAAGGCTGTTAAAGAATTTGTGTAGACATGTGATGTTTGTTCAAAATAAAAAACTTCTCGTCATTGACCTTATAGACTCTTCCAACCATTATTTATACCAGAACAACTATGGTCTTTTGTCTCTATGGATTTTATCACGAATCTTTTAATTTTAAGTTCATATGATTCTATATTTGTGATTGTAGATCATTTCACCAAGATAGCACATTTTGTACTATGTATAAAATCTATTTTAGGTAAAAAAATAACTAAATTCTTCTTTAACATCTATTGCTATTATGGATTACCAAAGAATATTATATCAAACAAAGGATCATAGTTTTTATTGAGATTTTGGAATACTCTTTTCAAGATATTGAAGGTGGATATAAAATTAACT